ATGACGAGTGTCATCAAATGTGCATATAAGGATAATATATAATAAATGTGCACAAGTATTTGTTGTAACACAATAAACTTTTCAGCTTCGGTCTCTATTAGGTCCTTCTCAAAGTCCATGTCTAAGAAGTAAAAATACAAGCATGTTAAATTCAATTAATATATAATAAAAAAGCATAAGATAATACTACATTTAGAATGTAGTACAATTGGCAAGAAGTTAATCATTATTTGTTAAAATTACAAAACTAGTTATTTAGTCAAATAGATATCAATCATGGTCACTTCAACGAGAGCTGGAACAACACCAGCACTAATGCCTATTTGGATAAATAGGAGTTACACATGATCAATGTTCTGAAATGTAGATTAAGAGGCCACTTATGCATAAGCGGGTTGGAACCACTTTGATTAGGGAAAAAAAATGCTCCATTGTGTGGTCATCCGCATGATCAGGCGCATTTTCAATAAGCGTTCGCATATTTTTTTTTATGTTGGCACTTTTGTTTTAAATACTTCCCAAGTTAAATCAGTTTATCCCCTAACCCAACCACTAAAGTAAAAATAATAATAATAAAAAAACTAACCCTAAAGTTTTCCAAATGTCCCACTAGTCCTCTCTATTCTCTCTCTTCTTCGAACCTAGTGGTTGAGGCAAATATCTTCCCCCCTTTGTCAACGTTTGCTCTACTTCGCAATGCTCACGAAACTTCACTGGAAGGTTGTACGACCTCCGAATGCTCTCCCAACCCCAAAGTTCTTCAACGTTCTCTCTCTGAGCTCTCTGGTGAAACAGATTAGTTAAAGCTTCTAAGTATACTTTTTTTCATGTATTTTGTATATATTTAACATATGAACAATAACAAATATATAGTATAATTCAAAAATTCACAAGTTCGCATGATCCGGTTAATCAATGGATAATTCGATTAACCATTAAGCGCTCCCCAACCGCACACATAGTATGACCTTGTTTTTGAACATTGTGCTTGTTCATTTTTCTGATCTGTTTTTTTATTTAATGCATGATCAAGTGGTCAATTAACTGCTACCCAATGCTAGTACTGTAGTCCTTGACATCATTTCTCGGTGGTGTTGCTATTCATATTATTTTTTTTCCTTTAACAAATTTTTAAACAACTTTATTGGTATTGAGTCCCTTTAGGTGTGTAGATTGCTAAAATAAACATAGAGTTCACGAGGATATGGGAATGTCATAATTATATCATTCTCGTTCTCTATGAAGCACCGACACGCGGAAACAAGCCCTGAGTTCGTGTCGGACGCGTGTCGGACGCAGACAAGCGTTCGACACGCGTCAGACATGCGATCAACGCCGCCGACACGCGTCAACGTCCCGACACGCGTGTCGACTCGCTCCCGACATGGCTGGACTCGTTCCCGACACGGCTTGACAGGGGAGCAAAAAAAAAAGAAAAAACTCGAAACCCAACCCCGAACCCTAAATTCTCACTCACGCCGCATCGGCTGGGATTCGGGATTCAGCGCAACAAAAAAGAAAACTGTCACCACATCCCGGTCTCTCTCTCTCTGATCTTGGCTCGCCTCCTCGTCGTGTTGTCTCTGTCGGCCGTCCAATCTCGGCTCGTCCTCGTCAGCTCGTCCTCTCTCCCTCGATCTCTCGTCGGCTAGGTCAGTCTCTCTCTCTCTCTCTCTCTCTCTGATTCTTCGTCTCTCTCTGATTCTTCGTCTCTCTCTCCATCGACCTCTTGATCTCTCTCGTCGGCTAGGTCAGTCTCTCTCTCCCGATCTCTCTCTGATGCATTGTTGGTAGGATGTTTTTCACCGGGGATTATCCTTCAACTTGATAAGGAATTCATATTATGTCAAGGCTTTTTTACATATGTCGCAAGCAATCCAATCTCTGGCTACAATCCTCCCGATTACAATTACATGAGGATCACTATCTTACAACGTGAGAAAACTCATGTTTGATTGAAGTCCATCAGGGGCACATGACAACAGAAGGGAGTCTCCATTTGTAGTGATGGGTGGGCGGATGCACAAAGGAGACCCATCATCAATTTTATGGCGGTATGTGAGGGTAAGCCAATGTTCTTGAATGCCGTAAATGCCGAGGGAGAAGTCAAGAATAAGTATTTTATCCAAACACAGCTAGAAAAGTGCATCACAGAGGTGGGACCGTGCCGAGGGAGAAGTCAAGAATAAATATTTTATCCAAGCGAAGCTAGAAGCCTAGAAAAGTGCATCATAGAGGTGGGGTCGTAAAATGTTATCCAAATCATAACCGATAATGTTTAGGCATGCAAGGTCGCGGGAGGGCTTATGGAGGGCACCTGGCGTCACATATTTTGGACTCCTTGTGTAGTCCATACACTCAATCTTGCTATCAAGAATATTTGTGCGGCTAAGAACACAGAAGCAAATGCCGTGGCTTATGCACAATTACATTGGATTATAAAGATCTCCGATGATGCATTGCTTATGAAGAATTTTATCATGAACCACTCTATGCGGTTGCCATGTTCAATGATTATTCCAAGATGAAGCTCCTATCGATTGCCGACACAAGATTTGCCTCGTGGATTATTATATTGAAGAGGTTTAAGGTCGTCAAGAGAGTTCTCCAAGACATGGTCCTTAATGATCGATGGAGCTTGTATAGGGAAGATGATGTGGGGACGCTCAATTTGTGAAAGAGAAAGTCCTCGATGATTTGTGGTGGGACAAGATAGATTTTATTTTTGATTTCACTGGTCCAATCTATGAAATGATAAGGGTCACCGACACCGATACACTATTTCTTCATTTGGTGTATGATATGAGGGATACGATGATTGAGAAGGTGAAGCAAGCTATTTATAGGCATGAGGGTAAAAGGGATAACGAGAAATCTCTTTTTTATGAGGTGGTTCACAAGATCTTGGAGGATCGATGGAACAAGGGCAACACCCCGTTTTAGTGCTTGGCACTCTCTTTAGTTCTAAGGTAGTATTTCACATTTCACTCTTTAATACGAATATTTCTATTAATCAATACCTTGTGGGCTAATTCATGTTGTTAACAAACATATGTACTATCATTCCACATGGTTCAATGAGAACGTCAATCGACAAGCTCCAAATCAAGATCATGAGATCTCTACGGAAAGAGCAAAGTGCTTAAGAATATGCTATTCTAACCCGATGAACGACGAGCTTTGAACTTGGAATATGCTAAGTTTGCGGGGGCTTTGGAGGCTTTTAATGATTCAGATTCTCTTTCCGATAGAGGACATATAGATCCAAAGTCATGGTGGCTTCTTTATGGTCCAAGTACTCCAAATTTGCAAGCATTGGCTGTAAAGCTTCTAGGCCAACCTTGTTCCTCTTCTTGTTATGAACGAAATTGGAGTACGTATGGTTTCATTCACCCCTTAAAGAGGAACAAGCTAACCCCGACACGTGCGGGGGATCTTGTTTATATTCACACCAACCTTCGTTTACTTTCTCGAAGTTCGGAAGAGTATATGGAAGGGGAATCAAGAATGTGAGATATTGGTGGAGATGCCTTCGACTCATTTTAAGGTGCCGATATTTTAGATGTTGTTGCCCTTTCTCTTGACGAGCCCACGATGGAGGCCGTTGTGTTTGAGGAGGATGAATGTGTTGAAGCCATAGAGCGATTTTTTTGATGTTTCAACTTGAAAACTTTATTTTAAGATACACTTTTGGTTGTAATTTTTATATTTTTACAATGTTAGTAACTTAGTATTTTGTAGCCATGGAACTAGTTGCAACTTGAACTTTATTCTCTTGTATTTTTATATGCTCAAGATGAAGGTAATGAAAATTAAAATTTGGTATTATCTTCAAATCAGTTACATAACTTACATTTGTCAATGATTATACAAGCCAATGTTACATAATAATATAACATAAAAATTGATCTATTTTTCTATATGTTCATCTTCTCTTTCTTGTCTTCTTTAACATTATTGTCTTCAATTCTCCAAGAGATCATTGCCATCCCAACGTCTTAATTCACACCTGCAACACACTTTCCTTTAGTTTCTTATTTATAATCTCCACTTTACATAACAAAAAATATAAAAATGTAATAGGAATTTAATTCAATATTGATCTATATATAATAATAATATTACAAAAATCTAGCCATGTCGTCGTGTCCTATTTTTTTTGGGTTTTGCCGTGTCCGTGTCCGTGTCGCTGTGTCCATGTCCGCTTCATAGCTCGTTCTCTCGTGTCATCGTTTCCAAGTCTTTTGTATTGCTTGATCAAGCATTTCATGTTTCATGCTATTTTCCCAATTATCTTAGGATAAGGACTATTAATAATATGACCCTGATTCCATCAAAAAAAAAAAAGCTTGATAATTTCGCATCAATTGCTCTAATTGTTTGTTAGGCAACTTAGGTCATAACTGCCTACAGTCATTAAGAACAGTTGCTCGATATGTTATAGGGTGGCTTATGCTATCTGCAAGCATGGAAGATTTAAGCTTGGTTTGCAGAGAAATTTCAGTCCTAAGATTTCGTTCAGCATAAGAACCGTTAGCTGCTGATTGCAATTTCCTCAATTCAGCTATGTTTTCTTGTATTTATCATACAAAAGCATGAATACATGGATGATGACACAAAGCAAATGAAAAAGAAAGGGGCTATCGGTTGAAAGATTTTCTGACTTATATCTGATTAATGAATATCTATGGAGCTTAATGGAAAAGATACTGAGATTGACAAATAAGGAGGATCATGTTGTCTTGTCCAAAGTTTTAGAAATTAAGTTTCCATGCTATCTGCATGTTGTAGGAATGGGTTTGTGGGCCTATCTGCTCTAGAGTTTTGTTAACTGGATTGATAGTTTATCATTGGTTCCTTTGGAGCATTTTATTTTGCTTGCTTTTGTGATTTTTTTCCTGCTTACTTTCTCTGAAATCTTGCATGTCTTTGGTTTGATATCGTTGAATTACTTTTTATGACTGATATATATGCAGCTGAGTTGTTTTACTTGTTTCTAGGAGGCAGAAGTACATGAAGCAAGAAAAATCAAATCTTCTTATCTCAATAATGAGTTACTGAAAGAAAAATTGAGAGAGGAAAAGAATCGCAGAGAGAAGGCAGAGTTGGAGCTGTCAAAATTACAGGAAATCCAGCTTGATGCCCAAAAATTGGAATGCGAGCTACTTTCCTGGAAATCATTGCTCACAGTGATACCTGATGTCTCATGTTATGATGATATACCTAAAAAGTTTGCGAGACTACAACAGTATGTTCTTAGCTTTGTGGTTAGTTTTAGTATCTTTTTTATTATCATATGCTGTAGGATTTGATATTATTATCATCATCATGATGGTCAGCATCACTTGCAGTAGTTTGTATCATATTTCTTAAGGTTGGTTCAGACAAAATTAGCTACCAATTTAATCTCTATAAATTATAAATTTCATCACTGAACTAGTATACCAGTAGAACAACAGGTTTATGTTTCTCAGGAAACTTACTTTTGAGCATGTATCATTTTTCGTTTTTTAGGGAAGCAATTGAAAGCATGATGAAAGTTGGTGAGGTAAATACTCGCTTGAAAGAGTTGGAGGTAGCCTTAGAACTGTCAGAACATAGTAGACAGCATGCTGAAAAAGAAGCTTCGCTTGCCAAGCAAAAGGCAGAAACTTCAGTTTTGGAGATCAAACAACTTGAGCAGATGGTGATAGCATATACTAAGTTTCTTTTCTTACTCTCAAAGTTCCATTTATCGTCTCATACTTCACATGATGTTGTGCTTTCTGGTGTTCCATGATAATGCATACTCAGATATGTACATTTCTGTTAGTTTGACTATATATAAATAAGAACTGATTATTTTCAGTGGGAAAGCATTAAAATCAGAGTTTTACATTTATTTGTTCTTGCATTGAATGTCTTTAGTTCTTCATTACATTCCACAGCTTTCTTTGGTTATTAAAGAAAGGGAGCAACTAAAGAAGGATTGTTCTACTATCAATAAGCAGAAGAGTGGACTTCCCGATAGCGTGATGGAAAATGAAACCACAGTTAAGGTTGGACTGGATGACTCATATTTGTTGTATCCTTTTAGTAGCTTTATAGCTTTTAATTATTTTCACTATTCTGGTAGTGCAGGATCTGGATAAAGCTCTTTCAGAAAGGGAAATGGAGGCAAGTTTGCAGGAACAGAGAGAAATTATTAGTCATCAACATGATGAACTTAAGCTGATGAATGAAAGACTTAATGTGGAAGCAAGGAGAGTAAAGTCTTTAGAGCGGGAAGGGGACCACTTGCGTTCGGAAATTGCTTTGTTAGAGTCAAAGGTATTGTGCTTATAAACTTCATGTCTCTTCTGCTCGCATGATGTCCTTATTAATGCTGAAATTTTCTGCTTATTTATCATGATAATTCTGTGTGTAACCGACTATGTCAAAATCACATGTCTTGTCTTGCCTTAAGAAGTTTTCTTTTGCACCAATGTACTCAACTTTAAATTAAATTATGAGGCTTGGCTCACTTGTAAAATTGGTGATTTGGTTTATGGGAGGTCCTCTGTTCAAGGCTGGGTGACGTACCTTTGTTCAAAAAGAAAAAGAACTAGTTCATTGTAAATAATTTTGAAGATTTCTCTCATATTAGTATTGTGGAGAGTAATAGTTGTATTGGACTTTGTACTGCCATGAATTTTTTTAGCTAACTAATTCAACTTGGTGGTCGACTAGTCCTGTCTCTTTTCTTTGAGAATTGACATGGTCAATTGATAGGTCATAGGAGTCATGCCATTCTTCTGAATCTAGATTTCACCAACCCACCCATCCACACACACCATTCTTGCAGTACACTTACAACTTATGCATACCTTATTATGAGTCCTAATATTCCCCTATTTTGATGCAGCATGTTTATTGGTAACACCGTGACACACACGACAACATAGATAGTCCAACATAGATAATCCCGCCTCTTCTCTTTTCTTTGAGATTCACATAGTCAATCTGGTGCATCTAGGTTCCTCACACACAAAAATAAATAAATAAATGATTATTTATAGCAGCATAATCATATTTTACAGTGTAATCCTAATTTTTCCCTATTGTGGTGCATCATGCTAATTGGTGACATACATGGTACAAATATAGACAATCCTAGCAATTCACTTTCAACTAAGGCATAGTTTTTGATGTTTTCCTTTTTTCTTCCTCTCTCACATATTTATTAGTAAGTTTATCATCTTGAATTTACAACATAAGAAACTTCAAAAATTTTAAAAAAAATTTGTTAACACTACTCCAACATAGTGTGCAAGATGCTTTTGTTCTTTTAACTTTCTTATTTTAATAATAATGAAATACAAATCAAACATTACAGCTGAAACATGCATGAATTTTCAAAACTGAAACTCCTAATTGGACCCTCATTTGATCCTTGTTTGAAATAATCCTTGTTTGCAACATAGCGGATGCTTATAGGCCCTAACTTGTCCTGGTCCTTTAGAGGTACTTAAAATTTTAAAAGTAATTTTATGTATATGTAATTATAAACTATTAAACTGATTTTAGTGTTTACAATGCTTAGATTTTCCATATTTTTTATTTAATTATTTCGGGTTAGCTGGGTAATTGGATGCAAATGCACAATGTTGCATGCTTATCTTGTCTTTCCTTAAAACCTATGCTTATCCTAAACTAAATGTTGGCCGCCGTGTCCGTTATGGCGGCTGACATTGTTAGACCCTAGAGGGGGGTGATTAGGGTCTTATGCTAATCTAATCCGATTATATGCCAATTAAAAACTAATTAACAAATTATCCTAGCAAGTATGAAGCACAACAAGATATGTAAGCTAGGATAAGCAATATGAACTAAGTGATATATCCTAGCAATAAGATATTAGGCAATGTATGTGCAAGGATATATAAACTCAAGGGTAAACAATCTAAACTAGATAGTGGGCAATATAATCAACAAGCAATATACAAAGGTGATATAAGATATGAACATAAAAGGAAGTGCGCCAATGCAATCACAAACAAACAATATGATTACGGAGTTCGGTCCCCACGACCTACGTCTCCGCTCCTCACCTCGAGGAGATCTCCACTATCACAATCGGGTTTTCTACGTTCACCCGAACAACGTTTACACCTCACAATACAATTACTATACAATCACACCTCACACACTAAGTGTTGGTCCTAGCTCGTGTCCTCCTCAAGTGCTCGGTTACAACCTCTCCCTAGGCACGTCAACCGACGTCACTCCTCTTGGATTCGACCCCGTCTCTCACCACACACTTCTCTCGGTGTACAAGTGTATTACAAGTGAATCCTCACAATTAGGCTCAATACAAAGTGTTTGTTGTCTACAATGAATGAGAACAAATTATAAGCTCACTCTCTAAGTTACACAATCCCACAACCCAATTATACTATGAATGTAGATACAACAAGCTCAATGGTTGTGTGTGTCAACAGAGATAAATAAAATCAATTAAACTAAACTCAATATAAATCTAGCTTATGGAAATTATAATCAAAATAATAAATTGCTAGATGAGTTTAGAAACACTTCTCTAAAGATGACAAGAGAGAGGGAGAAGAGTGAATGTTCAAACACCAAAGGATGATCTCCACTTGCTCTTGTGAAATTTGCTTCACAAACAAAACTCTTAAACACTCTTTTAAACAAACACAAAACACCCTTAAACTTGTTTAAACAATTCTCTTGGTTGGGTCTTGGTTGGGTTGAAAGAGAACAGCAATAGGGTATTTATACCCACTCAAAAACTCAGTCAAAACCCCTAACAAAAGACAAAAACAGCCCCAACAAACAGCTCAGAAAAATAGCCGTTGGAAGCCAACGGATACATTGGCGGTCGACCGACGGAAATATCGGTCGACCGACGGAGAGCAAAAACATGAAGAACTGTTCTGGACAATCCGTCGGTCGACCGGTGCGGTCGACCGATGGAGCTCTCGGTCGACCGGACCGGTCGACCGACCAACTCTCTGCTGGGGGCCACACCTGACGCTGAACATATGAGCGGTGACGGACGTCGTCGACAGCGAATTCTGATAGCATGAAACTCAATTTTCTGATTTAAAGCCTGTTTAAAAATATCAAATAATTTCAAAAAAATATAACTTTGGGGAAATGATTGTAGACTGATAATAAACATGCTAGCAAATGACTGGTTTCGAAAAAAGGACTTCCAAATGAAAAATATCAATCATTTTAAAAATAGTTCCAAAACATGAGAAATATGAGATACTCTGAATTTTGATTTTTGACAATAACGCAAACTTTTGAAAGCTTGGTGAAATGTTTTTATATGACTTAGTAAACATGTATAAACTCGATTCAAGTCTACAAACTAAGAATATAATATTTTTCACAAAATTACATATTCTATGGCAATGTTTTTCAAAACCACATAGAAAATATGAACTATATAATTTCCATATAATAATTCATAAAGAATCAAAACACATGTATGTATATTCTATTAATTAATATATAGCCATAGAAACGCAAAACTTATGTTATGTATATATATATATATATATAATATATATATATATATATATATATATATATATAATATATATTATATAATATATAGAACCTAATGTGTTATAAGATAACAATAAATGTGTGTGTATAGATATTGAGCTTAGAGTATATAACACACATAATATAAAATCTAAAACTACATTACCCAAGCTATGATCTTGATCTTCAATAAGCTGAACTTGGTAATCTCGCGGATGAAGCTTGAACTTGATCTTTAACTTGAATTGCAAGGCTTCACCGATATTCCGCCAACCTCCTTTGGATATGATCGTTGAGGCTCTATTCCATCCATTCTCCAACACGTTGTTTGTCTATAATAAATAAAAAAACACAAATACTAGACAAACAACATTAGTGGTAAATTGTTTGTTAAACATCATCAAAACAAGAAGGCCAACAATCTCCCCATTTTTGATGATGACAAACAATTTACAAAAAGAAATATATGCTCACATGCATATAAACATGAAATGTATACTCACAATATTTCTCCCCCTTTGACAACATCAAAAAGGGAATAAAAGAATTAAGAGAGCGAAAGCTCCCCCTATCAATAAGCATAGGTGAGTATAAAAAAGATATAGGGATTGCTCCCCCTATCAAAATGCCATATGGAGAATATGAAATAAAGATCATGGGAAATATGTGAGCAAGCATAAAAGATATGCTAACAATCACTCACATTCAAGAGATAATGAGAACACATATGAATATATCAATATGAAAAATAGTGTCTCATATCAAAGACCATAAAAACCATGTGTAAAGATAGATTTATGAAATCAAAAGAAAAGGAAAACATGAGAACCATGAAAAAAGTTTTCAAGTGAAAACAAATCAACCAAAAGAAATCATAAATCAAAGTTTAAATCCAAAAACGATGTTTGATCAATCAAGAAAATTTTCTTTGTGGGATTTGATCAAACCACATATGGAATACATTATAAGGCACGAATAGATGATCCATAAGCACAAACACATAAATCACTGATCTGCGTCTCTCCCTCTCTTCTCTTTTGACAATCTTCGATGGTGACTTCAGCAATGTCAACGATTTAGAATAATAATCTCTCTCTAGGGGGGAAACCAGGCTTCAAGTCAACAACAGATGAAACTAGGGTTTCGACTCTCACAAGTCAGGTACTCTCTTTGTTGCATTTTCTCTAGTCTCTCTCTCTCTCTTTCAGTCTCTCTCTCCATTACTCAAGTCTCAACACACGCACTTCCTCTCCCTCTCGGTCCCCTCTCTCTCTCTCTCCCTTTATTTCCCTTTTTCTCTCAGTCTCTCTCTAATTCTCAGTCCTCCCCCTCTCTTTCGCACAGTCTCTTCCTCTCTATCAGAATTTAGAAATAAATTGAGATATACATAAGTTACTATTGTTTTAGTTACTATAAATCCTTTTATTAGAAGTTACTGTTTTTTAGTTTCATTGTAAATCCATTTATAGAGATATGAAGCTAATATGTATTGCATTATTGTATGACTATAGAATTTATTGTGACCCTAAACATCATATAGTATTACATATTTGTGTGTTTAGACTATATAATTTATTAAGTATGCTTAGATTGCATTTTGGAAATTATATTATATATATGCACACCATTCGATATGAAAATCTGATATTTACAGCACATCATCAATTCAGCAATCTGACATGAATTTTAGCCGTCCAATATGTTCTCAACCCCCGACATCTAAAACCTTTATTAATGAAGAACATGCATAAATATTTTTGTTTTCCTTTTTG